ACCTCTCGGCACCGAGGAAAGGCTCATCTCGGACCCGAGGGAAGTATACCGACCGAGGTACCATATCAGACGAGGCTACGTGTCGGTTGTAAAACATACTAAATGCCATGATCCTATATGACGAGTACCTTGGGGGCAAGGACCTTTGCGCGCCGATGATACTTGATCTTAGCAACAGTATTTTGGTAATACCGAGGACACGTGTCTTCATCATAGAATATTTCAGAAAAGTTCCNTATATGACGAGTACCTCGGGGGAGAGGACCTTTGCGCGCCGATGGTGCTTGATCTTAACAACAGTGTTTTGATAATATCGAGGACACGTGTCTTCATCATGGAATATTTCAGAAAAGTCATATCAATTACAATAAGGACTATAGAACAGTGAGAGATAACGCAAAGTTGGAATACATACTAGGCTGATATTTGATAGGATTTTTGTCTCTTCCAAATACTTAATTCTTCTTCTAGTAGAGATCAATCGACTTGCAACCTTCATGATAGGGGTCTCCAAAAGGAAAATAAGTTTTTTCTTTGCTTAAGAAAATAAGGAGGTATGGTGAAATCATATAAAGATGAGGAGAGGAGAGGAGAGAAAACGGGTCTTAAAGGCAAAATCCCAAAAGAACCATTCATATCACCTAAATAATTGTTATATCGAGGAAGACCTGTGTAACCTTATTAATCATACCTCCCACTCCAATCTAGCCAATGTGAGACAAAAAGTCCAAAAGGGGGGTCCCAGTATCTCCTTAATTCCTTAAGCAAAAGAAAAATCAAGATTTTCCAAAATTTTCTTCGATTTGCACTGCACATTACAAAAATAAAAAGTCTTACCCAATGTTGTTTTTTTCTTATTATATTCTCTCACTTTAATCACCGCTCCATCGTACTAATAGTCTCCCACTAATTCAATATCACCATGCAATTTACTCCTCCACCAACTAGTATCCACTCATTTAATTTTAAAGGAAAAATAATAATTTTATCTTCTCTAATTCTTTTACCACCTCAACTTTTTATATTTCTCTAGCTTTTCAAATTATGTGATGATAAAGAGAAAATTGGAGACGAAGGAGGGCAAAAGCATGCGTGCACATTCCGTGCATCGCACAAGCTCGGATCTAATATAAAAGGAAAACAGAATAATCACGTGAACAAGTAAATGTTCCACAAAAGGCCATAGAATAAATGAAATTTTTTTATTATTTCAAGAAAAACATAAATCGACAATAAGATCCAATTGAAAAAAAAAAAAAAAGGTTATGTGCTGATAATCTAATTTTTCTTTAAACATTTCGATTGCATATGACTTTCATGTTCCTTTGATGCATTTGGAGAACACTATAAACTTTATTAATTTTATAAGCATTTTACTTGGGTGTTGTTTTGCAGCATCCATTTTAACAAGAAACAATATATTATTCAATACAAAAATATAAGTTTGGTGTAAATCAAACCTAATAACAATGCTTCAACAAATAAAAAAGGTTATTATGATGCTGAAAAAATAGATTCATACCGATCTCATCAATTTTTTGATGCAATCAATATTTTATAATCAATAATGTGCATAAACTTTCATACAGAAGTTTGAGATATAACCTTGTAAATCTTAGTCGCAGAGGTGCCAGAAAAGGGAAAAGGCAAAAGGCAAAAGGTTGTAAAGGAAGNGATATAACCTTGTAAATCTTAGTCGCAGAGGTGCCAGAAAAGGGAAAAGGCAAAAGGTTGTGAAGAATNTGTGCATAAACTTTCATACAGAAGTTTGAGATATAACCTTGTAAATCTTAGTCGCAGAGGTGCCAGAAAAGGGAAAAGGCAAAAGGCAAAAGGTTGTAAAGGAAGGGAAAACCCTAAAGCAATTTATAGGCAAGAGGAAAGACTATTCTCATAATATTACCAATTTCACGGCAAAGATAATTAGTATTTTGTTACTCATTATGGCAGAACGTTATTCTATTTTTCAAATCTTAAGTTACTCAATATGACAAATTGTTATAATATTTTTTGAATCTTTAAAGAATTATTTTAAAGAGTTGCATATTTAGTAGATAGCAAAAAGTTTCATTAATTCATGGGTTAGGAATTATAATAATCTTATTATTGTGACATAATTTTATACTATTTTTCGAATCTTAAAGTAACTCATTGTGACAAAAATGTTATACTATTTCCCAAATCGTTAAGGAATTATTTTAAAGAGATGTACATTTAGTAGATAGCAAAAAATTTTATTAATTCATGGGTTAGGAATTATAGTAATCTTCTTACAATGGAACACACCTTATTTTTGGCATTGATGGAGGTATTGGTTTTCCCCTTTTGGTTTTNGATAGCAAAAAATTTTATTAATTCATGGGTTAGGAATTATAGTAATCTTCTTACAATAGAACACACCTTATTTTTGGCATTGATGGAGGTATTGGTTTTCCCCTTTTGTTTTTTGTTTTTGTCAATCAATAGTAAGGGCATGTTGCTTGGAGGAATAGACTTGGTACAAGGGGTTGGAATAAGGCTGAAATACTCCTGGCCCCACTTAGAATAAGTGGTGCTCCAATACTGACCCACATAAACAGTTGTCACTCATCCCATCTGTACAGTTGTATTTAATACAACAGTGTATGTGGTATAAGAATCTCACTGATAGTATAAACCAAGGCAAAGACCAAACTGCCCTTCTCACACCAGCTCGTATATAAAATTAAAGGACGTGTACTCTCTCCGACCAACCGCTCTAGTTCAATCTCTTTGACGGTGCAAAAGACGAAGAACGAAGACCCAAGACCAAAAGTTGTTCAAGTTCATCAAATTGAACATCCATTTTAAGAAGATCATCATGTATCATCGAATCTATTGTTAATGTTTTGTTTTTTTTTTTTAACATATTTTAAGAAAAATTATGTACTATTTTGGTCAAATTTGTTTCCAAACTTGAAAAATCGGTGGGTAACTTTTAATCATTAGGGCTGTTTGAAAATGGAGTATGTGGACTTAGCAAAATGAATTCGGAAAAAATAGTCTAAAACTCTCCCAAATCTCATTTTTGTATGAAAAATTCAATTTTGAATTTTCAAACCCAGCCCGTAGCTGACCCGAAAATTAAATTCATGATCATAGATTCCAAACAAGCCCTTGTTGTCCTTAAGTCTTCTCCTCGTAACACAATCAGATTTTTTTAGTGAAAATTGAAGATGAGTCCCCTTAGATGAATTTATAATGACTTTAATTCTATAAGGAAACTTACTTGAGGGTAAGTCCATGTTTAAACTTATATGTAAATACTTAAGTCCACTTATTTTTTAAATCTCAAAATTACTTCTAACAGTGTTAATTTTGTTCAGTTATGAAAAGTCACATAAATTAGATCTTTGAGATATATATGAAAATCTTTTATCGAGTTATATATGAAAATCGTTTATTAAATATTATGTTAAATTAACTGAAGTTATATATTTTAATAGTTATATATAGTAACTTGATGTACGAATAAATCGTTTGTTTATTAAGCCAAAATCAAATTACAATTTTTTTTTAATAATTCAAATTTTTCTTAACATTAGTGTTACTATAGTAACACAAATGTGATTATTTTTCTTAAAATACTTAATATCTAAAATAAAGAATTCAATCAGTTCAAATAGTAACACAAACTCAACCTTAATTTTGATTTTACTCTTCATGTTTATTGTAGAATCCATTGATAAAGTTACAATTAATTATTTGCATTCAAAACATCTTCACAGTTTTGGAATTCAAAAATAGAGTTAAGGTGTGTGATTTTACATGAAAGTTGATGTTTATTGTAGAATTTTAAAAAATTTCTACATAATATATAGTTCAAACTATTCGTTTTTTTTTACATTCTTAATTTAAAAATTGAGATTCATTATTATTAAGTTAAAGTGTTATATAATTCGATTTTGTTGTTTTATTTGTTGTGCAAGACATTCGAAATACTTTGATTGTTTGTCTGTGAAATAGATCATGTTACTGTGTGACAACTGGAAAATAGATTTTAAAATTTCGATGTCTTAATATTCTTGATTGGTGTTGAGTGTCTTAATTTAACTATCAACAATGTGTTAATACTAGAAATTTTGTAAATTTTTAATTTGTGGATTGTATTTTCACTATAATCTTTTAAAAATTAATGTTACTGTGAAAACTCTATTGTCTTGTATTTTGTAAAAGTCGATGTGGTACTAAGCACAAACTTTTGATATTACTGTGAAAATTAAATGTGTATGTTACGTCTAAAGGTTTGCAATTGATAGTGTTAGTTAAACTTGGGGTTGAGTTTGTATTACTATATGAAATTGTGAAATTTTTCATTTTAAGTATTTTAAGGAAAACAATTTTATTTGTGTTACTATAGTAACACTAATGTTAAAGAAAATTTGAATTGTTAAGAAAATTTTGCGATATAATTTTAACTTAATAAACCAACGATTTATTCGTATATCAAGTTTCCATATATAACTATTAAAATATATAACTTTCATATAAAAAATCTATTAATTATCATAATATTTAATAAACAATTTCCATATATATCTCAATGATCTAACCTATATGAAGGAGACGACAAGTCAGACATCAGTTATTGCTTTTTCAAAGAGTAGGAGTATAATAATAAATTTGACAAAAAATGGACTTAAAACTAAATAAATTTTCNCCTATATGAAGGAGACGACAAGTCAGACATCAGTTATTGCTTTTTCAAAGAGTAGGACTATAATAATAAATTTGACAAAAAATGGACTTAAAACTAAATAAATTTTTTTACTGGACTTATTTATAAATAAGTCTATATAGGGGACTGTCCTCTAAATTTTATACTTTCTTATTATAGGAATGGATAGTAACAAGGGCATTCTTGTAAATTAACAGATGAAGACTCTTCTTTTTTATTGGTCCCACAAACTTACAAACCGATACAAACAAACAAATTGAAGGATTAGAAAAGAAGATGATTTATGTCTTCCAATTCCATCCAACACATTCCTCCGAGCAAACATGCCCTATGTATATCCTAGGACACGTCGAGGGACTGTAAGACAACCAACCAGGACTACCCACGTCATTCTATATCCACGTGGAATAATTCTATTGGTCTAAACTCCTCCACACACGCGGCTTACTAAGTGTTAGTCTTCCTATTTCATTAATTTCGCAAACTTGCCTCTCAACCAAGGTAACCCGTATCACACGATTCTCGATCTCTCGCACTGTATTCTCGGATCCTCCGTCGGAGCTCCGACCGGAGAGTGATTCACCGTGGCTCCGTCAGGCCAACACCAACAGCAAAACCTCTCGCGAAGGAAACCATCTTCATCCTCTTCATCTTCGGGTCAACAAAGCGTAATTTCGGGTCCGACACGAATTGTGTACAGAGAAACCCTAAGGTCATCGTCCGATTCTGATCTCAACTTGCCATTTTGGCAACGGACTTGGTTCATTGTGTTTCTTTTCCTCATGGCACTCTCTTTCTTCGCTCTCGCCATATTTCTCTTCCTTACCCTAGATTCTGACTACACTGCATCTCCCGTTTCTGCTGCTTCTGAAGGCGTCCAGGTAACCCTCATTCTCTCAACATACATGCCCACCCAGAATCAATACATAGATGTGGTTTATAATTGATCCGTGTTCATGAAGTAGTTGTTTTAGAAAATTAATTTGTTTGAATTGGAGGGATTTTTGTAAGATCTCGTTCTTTTCTTATTTGGGTTTTGATTCTTGATTGATGTGTACTAATTGAATATCTCAATTCGATGTTGAAATGGTTTGTCAAAATTGTTGTGCTTGTGATCGCTTTTTATGTGGACCTATTTTGTATTTTCATGTTCGGCTTAGGTTAGTGATTGAGTTGTTGAGCAGTTTCTTTAATTTTGAAGTGCTTACTTATTGCGAATTAAGGAATTGTGATATGTTGTTCTGGTTTTAATGGTTCTTTGTTGTTGCTAGATTACGTATGGGTCAGTGATCAAACTGATGCATGAGAGGACCAAATTCCGGCTGCACTCGCACGATGTGCCTTATGGTTCTGGTAGTGGGCAGCAATCAGTTACTGGCTTCCCGAATGTTGATGATTCCAATAGCTACTGGGTTTGTCTATTATACTCATTCTTATTGTAATTTTTTTTGGTAACTTCTACTATCTTCGGTAAAATACTTGTTAAAATTCTAAATTAATATGAGTTTGGATTTTAACTTGGAAGTGGGGGTTTCATCTGCTAGATTGTCAGGCCCATTCCAGACTTGAATGCCAAACAAGGTGATACCATTAAAGGCGGAACAATCATTAGGTTGCAACATATGAAGACTAGGAAATGGCTGCATAGCCATTTGCATGCATCCCCAATTTCAAGCAACATGGAGGTTCGTGAGCTGGCCTTTTCCCCCTCCCTTTCCCGCTTACATCCGAAAGATATACATACCGGCTTGCACTAAGCAACAAATGTATTGGAGTTGTGAGGTCTTGTTAGGATAACCTATTGACAGATTTAATTATCGGTTTGTGGATCAGGAAGATGCATTTTTGGTAGGTTTGGTGGCTTCTGTGGGCCACTGAGCATAAAGCAGTTATGTGAAAGCGTAATATGTTCCCACTTGTTAACAATAGAAAAAGGGATATTTTCCACCATCCTATATTTTGTTGAGGCCTCAGATTTACATAGTCCTTTTATTATGTGAGAGTGCATTTGCTCCCTCATGTTTCCGGAAGTTGTCATAACTGCTTCTCGTATACTATAGACTCTCTGATTATTTGAACCTAATCGAAGTTTTAGTTATCTATTCCTAGTTCTTCATCTTTGTTTGGGTTAGGCATACTCTTTCTGCTTGTCTTGATTTAATTTCTGCACATTATGAAGAAAAATTTGAACTTTTTATGGCTAAATTAATGATTTTAAGAATGCGCTCATCTGTTTACTACATAGAAAGCTAAGCTGCCCTCCTAGTTTTAAGGGCACTCAAGGCAAGCATTCTAACGTTTTTCCTATAAATACCTATGTCAATTAAAAACTTCATCGTATATGATAAGGTGTAAATTGTAATATTGATTTTTGTAAATCTAGCTCATGGTTTGGTGAAAAGAAATCCCTTTGATAGAGCAAAACGAAGAAACACAATTCATGTAACCGACCTGAAAGAGTTAGGATAAGGGTTTTGTTGTTTTTAAGCCTCTTTACTTCTTTTTTCCTCCCAGATTCTCTCTCATTCTGTCTTATGTCAATCTGCATAGGATCCCATCCCATACAAGGCATGCATATACCACCTCTGGTATCTAAAAAAAGCTTTAACTGGTGAGAGCTTGCCAAGATCTTTTGACTATAGTTGGACTTGGACCTATGAGCTCCAACATACGAGCACTAGATGCGAAATATGTGATGAGAGCCAACACAAATTGTCAGAAAATATCAATCAAACGTGGAATGAAAACGAGAGTGGAAGGATGTATGTTAACTGTTTGATAATCTGGCCAGCTGTAGCATTTTAGAAGGACAACATTTTAACACTTCTTTTATAGTTTTATAACTGACATGTGTATTGAGGTATAATTAAATTGGTCTTTTAAACTACCTTAAAAAGTGGGAGTAAGGCTTTGCTTTCTAATGAAACAGGCAATCAATGGGCTAGGGTAATTTTGTGGGGCTTGGCTTGAGACTCAGTCTTTTTCACATGCTGGGTCTCAGTCTTACTTTGCTCCAAAGACCATCTTCTTGGATGTTAGGTCCTCAAACAGACATGCCTTTGGACAAGGCACTCTCTTTGGTCCTGCATAGTATTGGCTTTGCAACTGTAAGATTAGTAACTATTTCTGTTCCAGTGTTTACTGTTTATCCGTGAACCCTATTAACTGAGTCATTTCAGTTGCACATAGTTTACCTTTTGGCCCTTTGGTTTCTTAAATACTGTTGTCCGGAACATGCCTCTTCTTTATTGTCTTATAACATTTAATTCATACAAACAAAAAGCATCATTCTTATAACCTTCAGAACAAACTATCCACTTAATGAATTCAGTTTTGTTATGCTGTTAACTCATTGATTATATTATTTTTTATTATGTATATCAGTTCCTTGTTATATATGTTGAGAAGACTGGGAAAAGAAGGTGGATTCTTACAATTGACAGTTCTTTTAAGACTTTCGGTTATATCCTTTCCCACTCTCTTCTCATCAAATGGAGAATCAATGATTTGGCTGAAGCTGATGGCATCCGTAATTTACGGTTGAAACTGTGTATTATATGGTTCCTTTACTTGGTGTTAACGGTGGGGCTACTAAGTAGCATGCATCAGGGTTTGAAGCCCATCACATGCAAGGTTGGTTAGGTGTTCACACTAGTTGCTAACATCAGAGAAAAAAAATAAGATGATACATTTCATATAATGAGATGGCACGGTTAGAATAAGTACAATGGAGTTTGCGGGAATATGTCTTTTGTACTGCATGTTCAATTTTGTACACTTGGAATTCAGTAAATTGGAGTGTGGATGTTGTAGAATTTTGTACTGCGGCTTGAATTTTATGAACTTGGATTATGCTGTAGTGGTCTCAGTTGATGAAACCATTGCCTTGCAGTATATTGCATCTGCAGCCATTAATTTCGTATGCTACATTGGAATAAAATCCATTTGGCTGATTTGAGATCAGTTTGGTCTTATAATTAGAAAAATTATAAATCCTCAAATGCAGAATGTAATCCAAATGAGTATTTGTAGGTGAGTTGCTTTGGAGGTGAAGGTGAATCTGACACTGGTGATTACTGGAGGTGAGACCCATGGTTTCACTTTACTCAATATACGTATATATCCTCATTATGGATGTGGCAGACATTCATGTGGCTATTTCTGTTGTTACGTAGGCTTGAAATTGAAGGAAGTGGTAAAACTTGGAGGCAAGATCAAAGGATCAGGCTTAATCATGTGGACACCAGGGGATATCTACACAGTCATGACAAGAAATATACACGTATAGCCGGGGGTCAGCAAGAGGTGAGAACCAAAATATGCAAATGGATTAGATTCTTACATTATTCCAGTAAATTATTGGTATCACAAATCATCAAGACTCTGAAATGTCCTTTTGGGCTATTCTTTATACACCATTTTCGCAACATGAATTATTTTGTGGATGCAGTGACGTGTTCAATAAAGTCATGTCTACTTGATATGCAATAGTTCAATTATTTTGCAAAATGCCAGCATTTTTATTCTGGTGTAGATTTATTACAAAGGCTTTGGCATTTGCTTTTGATTGTTCAGAAATCATATTGATCCCAACCCAAATGATGGGATTATGTGGTTGCATGCATGCAAACTAATTTATTACTCTACTGCAGACTGTGTTAATTGTGTGATAGTTATTTGTTGGACATTCTGCAGGTTTGTGGTGTACGAGATAAGCGTGCTGATAATATTTGGTTGGCCGCAGAGGGGGTGTACCTTCCAATCAATGAAGGCAAGTAGGGATTAGCTTTTGAGTATTTTTTTAGCTGGTGGTTGGTGAATGTAGGCGTGTATCTGTTATCTTCTCCGAGTGAGTGAAGATTCTAAGCGTTTTTTTGAATATCATATATTGCTGATAGAAATATATAGAGACTGGCTAACTATCATTATATCCCTATCAATTTTATGTTCTATTGACTCATTTGATGCTTAAAATGGTCTGTATTAGATGCTGGCTCATGGTTTCATTTTTGCAATGTTGGTTTTAATGAAACCATTGTGCTGAATTCACGTGTTCATAAAAAAAGAAGAAAGAAACCATCGTGCTGAATCCTAAAGGCCTTACTTTTATGAGCGAAAAGCAATCTTTTATGGATTTAGCTACTGAAATGTTTACCAGGAGGTTCTAGTGTTTGTAACAGGTAAGCGGCCTGCGCAAGCCTGCTTGGCTGAATTTGGTGTATGAACACATCCATTTTAATTCATTTATGCTCCAGACCAATGCGAAGTTCATTCACCAAGGTGGGTGTGAACAAATAAATCGCAATAGCTTAAATGATGTGCCATGCCTACATGTTAACATCCTCAGATGAGATCCCAATTTAAATACGATGAAAAGTCTTGTATTGTTATTATTCTTATGCTTACGCTTCCAATTTAGATTGGAACTGAAGCTGAAAAGTACAAATAAACAGGTTCAACCCTGACCCTAAAGTCAAGATTTGATATCACTTTCCTACTATATCAGTACCGATTCATGGGTGAGGATTTTCTGTTATTAGAAAATTAATAGTAGAGATGGTGTTGTTTAAAATAGACATTTTTGTTAAAAAGAATATCGATTTGGTGCAAAACAATGCTGTTTTAAGTAACAATATCTTTGCTGTTTATTTTTAACAGTAACGGTAGGCATCAAACGAAAACTGCCTGAAGTTATTTACCACAAAAGCTAAAAACGAACAATGCCCTGGCCTGGGACAACAGAAATGAAAAGAAAAGGCGACAATATAGGCCCAGGCAAGGATGACGAGGTCATTGATGAGAGGCAGTTTCCATTTACACAAAACCCACTTGCAGGGATTCCACATTACTCGAAACTCCCCAATGACAAAGGATCACAAGACTCGCAACAACATCCAAAAGCTGACTTTGTCAACGCTACTCAGGACCGCGGCAAGCAAATTTCAGTAGGGCTCAAAGGTTTGCTAAGCAAAGGGCCAAAGGTGGCTTTGCTATTTATCTTACTATACCACGGAAGGGCAGTAGGCAAAGCTGCAAGGAGAAAGTGCAGCTTTCATTGTTCTCATGGCAGCAGACATTCGAAAGAATTACTACTACCCCCCACCTTTGAGGAAATGTGTTATTGAGCTCCATGAAGAGAAGTACCACAGCTATGATTAGACAGGATTGAAGCATCACCCAGAGAATAGTATTCTAAAAAATTATATACTCAAGAGGCCGCTTCTATTGAAGTGACGATTAACATTAAGCACGTTATGAAACTTTAGGTAGCCATGACCAACACAACAGCATACAAAAAAAGTGAATTAACTTCAAATCTAAATGATCAAAATCTTGTCTACTCCAGATAATTTTGGTTCTTGAACAAGTAAAATTTCCCAAAGCAAGGTTCTGCCATACAAATTAAAAAAGAAAGGTTTCTATTAAATCAAAACATGCAAGTTGAACACTGATCCATCGGTAGCCACTTAGTGAGACTTGACATACTCCTGAACAATGTGGAGACCTTCAGTTTCTTCTCCATAATCCTGCAAAGCAAACCAAGAGGTCAGATCACTATGAAAGAAACACCCCACAGGTTAATAATATGAGGTTCATTGCTTTGGCATTCTACCTTTACAACAACACAGGAGCAACCCACAACCTTCCTTGCTTTACCCTCTGAATCAATCTTGCACAACTGCAGATGAAAAACAAAATCAATCTTGCTCAAGAATAGGTTGTTCAATTTTAATTTCAAACAACTGGAAAAGAAAGATAATAACATCCACTTTTACATATGTCACAGAATTTGAGATTATACATGTAGGAAATATTAACGCAGTGGAAGGGGGGGATAGAGAGACAGAGGGAGGGAGAATATGACACACTTCCAGAAACAAGAGAAAACAGGATAAGAAACTAGTTAGTCAGCAAAAAGATTTTTACTTACACCAGCCCATTCGCCAAGAGTTTTAGCATTGGGAACGGTTATCAAGTTTACATTGTGGTCAGCACAAAGTGCTTTGACCAATTTAACATAGTCTGGCTGATTGCAGTCCTCTGCCAATACACAGAGCTGGGCAGCATGCTTCTCAATCACCTTTGCACCTTCATGAAGGCCTCGAGCTAGCCCACCATGAGCCAGTGATTTTCTCAGCACAAGTTGCAAGGCAGTCATAGTGTCCATAGGCTCTCCAAGAGCTGGAGCTGGAGTTGGAGCAGGTGCCTCCGCTACAACACCCTCTTCACTGAAATTAAAAAAAATGGGAGAAAATGAAATGAAGAAAAACTGAGAAGTTAAGTAGTGGAGAGAGGCAGATAATATCTAAAAAAGGGGGGAATGGGATTAATGTGAGCAGTTGACGCCCTAAAAATATTAGCCCTGTAACTAGTTTAATAGTGTCTGAAAACATATGAAATAACATCATAACAACTCGACTGCTTGAAATCTTAATGCAACTCCAACGTGCGATGATTTCTTAGATGTGCTTGTAATAAATTCCCAGATTTACGATACAAACCCTTTATTAAATAACCATTTGATTATCAGCTTTTCAACCACAATTACATCTCCCCATCAACAAGCTAAAGGGGAGAGAAGGGAGGGTGGGGGGTGGGGGGAGGAGAATTGAGAAAAAATCATACCAGATATTCTAGCAATTAGAAACAAACTAAGTTAAGCCATCACTCATAAGAAGGGATATTTACATACCCAGACATTGTTTTCTCGTTTACTTCAAACTTTTTCTCTCAAACCTGTCACCAAAAGCAGAAAGCAAACACAGTTCAGATGAAAATTAAGAGTGCCTCAAGTGGCCGACCACATCACACCTTGAAAAGCAATGTGAAGCATATCAACCAACCATATAACACCTTCCTATATCATTTTCAAGACAATAACTCTTCATTAAGATCATTTTTGTAGGTTAAAAGAAATAAACCTTCAGAAAGGTGTACATATTTTACTATGATTCAATGTCAGATTACAAATGCTAAACACAGATTGACCTTACTCTGAAAACACAATGAATACAGACACAGTAATGATTATCTGTCCATATTTTGGGATATTTATCATGAGTAGGTGCCCGTTTCAATTGGTTCCACCTGACATTTTCTTCTTTTTCCATAACTTCCACTAAGATGCAATTTCATGTACTCACTACATTTTCAAGTAAAGAAGCTCTCCTTGCTTCCATGTATGTCCCAATTCCGCCAACAGCCAATGGGCCATATGCTCTTTTTCATCCCATGGCAAAGATCTTCAATTTCTACATCTTTCTCCTTCTATCTCTACCTTCTCTCTTATTTTCTTGCTCTACATTTCAAGGCTGCTTCTTCCTTCTTAAGAAATGGAAAAGAATGCATTCTGATACCAAACACCCCCTACATGGCCACAATTGATAGTACTTTTCTTTCCCTTTTTTAAGCTCTGATGTGATGGATCAAACTTATAAGTCAGAATGGTCTGCACCAAGTGTAATTACATCCGCAGCATTTTGTTTTCAATTTCCCTTTCCCATCACATGGTAATAAAGGGTTGGCAGATGGTACAGGCAATATGCAGCATGTTGGATCTCTGATCTTGAGGTAAATGGCATAAACCAATAAAATATAAGAGAATACTGCCGAATTAAACTATACAAAAGCTCCTAAACCGGAATCAAAGCTCCAACTCAAACTATCATGGCATACACAACATCAACACAATAAAAACCAAACACTATAATCTCATAAATTTATCCCCTACCCAAGTACCCTGTCCAAATCTTAATTCCTTTATCTCATATCAATCGAACAGTCAAGCTCATGAAATGAGCACATTCTCGCATATAGAGAAACAATATCACAGAACAATTCGAAGTAATGCAAGCAAGCTATTCCACTCATATTTACAACACATACCCTAACTTGTTCACATACTCTCATACATAGGCATTGATGATTCAATTTTTAGCAAGTTCACATACTCATATATGCATTCATGATTCGGCAAAGTTGACGCCTTCATCAGATGAAGTCATTTTCTTCATATATTTCACTGGATCGGTTATTATCCATAAATTATCGTAATTTACATATATAATTTCATACTTTTAGAGAGAGAAAGATTGCTAGAGAGATTAAGATGGGCACCTGTGAAGAGGTTACGGAAGCACAAACGGTGACCTTTCTGCCTGCGAATGAAATTGACAGAGGAAGTAGAAGAAAGTTTGCGGCCTTATAAGGTTGTACGCAAAACCTAAAACCCTAATTCCGGTGAATTTACATTATTATCCATTGTCAATATATGGAACCTTTGGGCCAATCCAGCCCAATCTTCTCCTTTCCATGGGGCTCATATCAATTAAAGGAACCCAAGAATTTTCAGTTGGTCTTAGGCCCAATTCGGCACCAATGGGTCAGCTTGTTTAAGAACAAAGACCGATGTGATATGGAAAAATGAAAAATGCCTCACAAACTATTTTTTTAGTAATTTTTTTTAATTAACAGATGCAGTAGTAGTAATATTCTTGTAAATATCATCATATTATTTATATTTTCTTTTGAGATGAAAAAATACTAGTGGGTCACAACACTGAAGGAGACTAGAATAACGCTTGTATCGAGACAACACGACATTGTTTTGGATTCTTGTTGAGACAATGATATTTACAAGAATTTTTTNTCATCATATTATTTATATTTTCTTTTGAGATGAAAAAATACTAGTGGGTCACAACACCGAAGGAGACTAGAATGACGCTTGTATCGAGACAACACGACATTGTTTTGGATTCTTGTTGAGACAATGATATTTACAAAAATTTTTCTAAAGTACAAATTTTTTTTTATCACTTTTGAATATGATTTGTCATCGCATTTGTGAGTATTTTTATTACTATTATGATAATTATTTTTTTTATTATTTTTGAGTGTTATAATACTGATAAAACTATTCACAAATATAATAAAAATTACTATAAATATAATAAACTGTTTCTCGGATTAGGCTTCTGTGTGCTTCTTTTTCAACTCGCGTTTGCCACGTCCTGCTGGGGGAGAATCAAGCTGCAGACTTCATGGGTAATTGGACTTGTTCTCAACAGCTCAATAAATGATTCCCTAATTTGTCGTTCCTTCCTTTTGGGATTGCTCATATCCTCGTCTTGGATGTNATATAATAAAAATTACTATAAATATAATAAACTGTTTCTCGGATTAGGCTTCTGTGTTCTTCTTTTTCAACTCGCGTTTGCCACGTCCTGCTGGGGGAGAATTAAGCTGCAGACTTCATGGGTAATTGGACTTGTTCTCAATAAATGATTCCCTAATTTGTTATTCCTTCCTTTTGGGATTGCTCATATCCTCGTCTTAGATGCNTTGGATGTTCGACAAACTCCTCACGTTCGTCGTTAAATTTTACTTTCATTGATGTTCTCAATTATTTTGTTTTATGGGGATTCCTCACTTTGCTTTTCTATTTATTTATTTTTTCTATTTTTGGTGGTGAGTCACCACCTTACTTTTGTTTTGACTTTATTTCACTTCTAGAGGTTTGGCTCTATGACCTCCTCCTCTATACCTTTTTTCTTTTAATTATATATACACATAGGAGTTTTGCCAAATCCTCCACCTACACTACACTGGGTGACCTTAAAAAAAAAAATAATAATCATAGTAATACTAAACTCTGTTCTACGGCAGAGGAGCTGTGCCCTCTTTGTCAAATCCATCTCAATCTCAGCCCTCCAAAAAAATCTCAAACAAGGGGAGACCCAAACGCGTCACAGCTCAACACACAAATCCCTCCAAACCGACCTAGTGGCCCCCACCAGTAGCAAATCCCAACTCTTTTTTTTTTTTTTTATAATTTTCCAATAATTAATTAAAACCCATATTTTTTATAATAATTTCAAATTTTCCCCTCCTCATCTTCTGCATCTGTGTCGCTCTTCATTCTCACACACAATCATTAACAAAAAAAAAATCTTTTTTTTATTCTGTTGAAAATTCCTCTGTTTTCTTTCTCTGTCTCTCTCTTTGATTTGGCAGGAGGTGTTGAGGAAAGGGCCTATCCGCGTTCACCCCGAGGCTCTTCTCTCTCTCTCTGTTCATATATCTATATATACACGCATAGATACACCCAATTGTGCCCTAAATTCATTTCTTTTCGCCGCCTTGTATGACCTCATCGTAATCCCCCCTCTATTTGTATGTTCATGTTCGATTCATTCAATCATAGATCCACGACACAAAGCTTGAATTTTTGCTTATAACAGGTACAATTCAATCCTGTTGATCCGTTTCTGGATTAATTTTGATTGATATCACGGTTTTCTTAATGATTTTGTTTGGTTTATTTGAAATTGATTCGATTTCTGGTTCAATTATAGCTAAATTTGTGTTTCTCTTGCAGATCTGGGTCGAATCAAGTTGGGTTCGCCAAAGATCGGTTACAGAGTCGATTTTGATAAAACATTATTTTTGGTCGATTTTGGATAATTGAGAAATGTCGCTTTTCCCCAAAAGCGTTTCGATTCAAATTCGAGAGGTGTGGAATGACAATCTGGAAGAAGAGTTCTCTGTGATTCGCCAAATTGTCGACGATTTTCCGTACATCGCTATGGATACCGAGTTTCCAGGCATTGTCCTTCGTCCCGTTGGCAATTTCAAGAACAGTCATGATTTCCATTACCAAACACTGAAGGACAACGTAGATATGTTGAAATTAATTCAGATAGGGTTAACATTTTCTGATGAGCAAGGCAATTTACCTAGTTGTGGAACCGATAAACATTGCATTTGGCAATTCAATTTCCGGGAATTTAATCCCAATGAGGATGTCTTTGCCAATGATTCGATTGAGCTCTTGCGTCAAAGTGGGATTGATTTTAGGATGAATAATGAAAAGGGTATTGATGCCAAGCGTTTCGGGGAGCTCTTGATGTCGTCGGGGATAGTTTTGAATGATTCTGTGTTTTGGGTTACCTTTCATAGTGGGCATGATTTTGGGTATTTGCTTAAGCTCTTGACTTGCCAGAATTTGCCTGATTCGCAAACTGGATTCTTTACTTTGATTAATGTGTATTTTCCAGTCGTTTATGATATCAAGCATCTCATGAAGTTCTGCAATAGCCTTCATGGTGGATTGAACAAGGTGGCAGAGTTGTTGGAAGTTGAGAGGGTTGGTGTTTGTCACCAGGCAGGTTCGGATAGTTTGCTCACATCTTGTACTTTCAGGAAGTTGAAAGAGAACTTCTTTAGTGGCTCACTGGAGAAGTATGCTGGTGTCTTGTATGGTCTAGGTGTTGAGAATTGACAGAATACCCATTCAGAAAAATATGAAAATGAATAAAAATATGTGAAAGAAAGAAATGATAGTTATTTATTAGACTCCATAAGTGTGGAATCTGTGGATGATGGGACCACATTTCTTTGTATACTCTTGAAAATCAAAGTTCTTAATTGATGAATATTTAGTTATGATGGCTTAATTCTTCTCTCTGTTCTGTGCATTGTTGCCTCTTTTTATGGTATGCTATTTTTACACTTCCATGGTTTTGGGTTCTGTAAAGTATGCTATTTTTTCTTTGGCTGGGCCATAATTTGGTGCAGTTACCTTACCTCATTTGAAGTAAAATAGGAACAAGTTATGGTTTATCTTCAGGTTTAACTAGGGGATGAAACAATATTTTTCGCGGGGGAAGAACTTCTTTACCAAATTTCATGGCTTCTGATGGTTGTCATTACGGTGGATCTCATGCTTTTGCATCATTCATGAAGGATGCAACCTGCGGGTTGTAATGAAATGATGGTAAAATTTCATTTCTTTCTTTTCGCTTTTTGAGTTTCATTTGTTGCCAATATCCAAAGGCATTTCATGAGTTTTTCTGAATATTGGTACTCATTTATATCTTCTAGTCTCTTGTTATCCGTTGAGATCTAAAATTTGCGAATCGCATATTTGCTTGAACCTGAGGCATTCCATGTACATGAACATTATGAAAGGCTAATGAGATAGCTATATATGTTTAAATTAGACTCTCATTTATCTCTGTTTTTGTTTTAATACCTGACATATTTTGGTAGGTACTTGCTATTTTCTGTCTTTGTCTTTTACGTAGATGGTTTTTGTCCCAAGATGCAGATTATGCCTTGCTCGTGTGTGTGTCCAGTATGTGTCATTGTGTCCGAGTCCCGAGACAAAGCTCCTTGAGAAGTATTTGTGCTGCTTTTGCTTTCCATATTGANAAACAATATTTTTCGCGGGGGAAGAACTTCTTTACCAAATTTCATGGCTTCTGATGGCTGTCATTACGGTGGATCTCATGCTTTTGCATCATTCATGAAGGATGCAACCTGCGGGTTGTAATGAAATGATGGTAAAATTTCATTTCTTTCTTTTCGCTTTTTGAGTTTCATTTGTTGCCAATATCCAAAGGCATTTCATGAGTTTTTCTGAATATTGGTACTCATTTATATCTTCTAGTCTCTTGTTATCCGTTGAGATCTAAAATTTGCGAATTGCATATTTGCTTGAACCTGAGGCATTCCATGTACATGAACATTATGAAAGGCTAATGAGATAGCTATATATGTTTAAATTAGACTCTCATTTATCTCTGTTTTTGTTTTAATACCTGACATATTTTGGTAGGTACTTGCTATTTTCTGTCTTTGTCTTTTACGTAGATGGTTTTTGTCCCAAGATGCAGATTATGCCTTGCTCGTGTGTGTGTCCAGTATGTGTCATTGTGTCCGAGTCCCGAGACAAAGCTCCTTGAGAAGTATTTGTGCTGCTTTTGCTTTCCAGCCCTCCCTTTCATCACCTAGTTCCAGGTATCAAATGCCATTTGGGTGATTGCTGTTTATGATTCAGAGTTCATGACAATGGTAAGAGCTTCCTCAAATCATTGATTTATTCACTTGAGTTGTTACAGGTGCCTGTTGGACATTCAAAAACGTGGAAAAAAAATACAGTGATAGCATGTCACTAATTCTTAGCAGAGAAAACCCCTCATATTTCAGTTCTAAAAGTTGCAGTTCTTCATCTTCAGGATATATGTAATACTAGGGTTAATCCATACCTGAATGTATGGTGTAACGTAAGTGAGAAGTGATAGGATTGGGAGAAAAAAAGTTTAATGTGAATGGTTTTGATATGGATGTTGGATGAGTCTATTTGAGATCGTCGGATAGACTTATTGAAACTTGTCTTACTTTATATTATAGATAGATATGTTTTTCTGCTAGTTTAGATTTTTTGGTCACTATCCCCAATTCACTACTAATCACTTAAAGAGATCCAAGTGTACATTATAAATGTTGGTTCATCGGGTCATCCTTATCTTGCTGTTGGGATCCCAATAAGCCAAACAAAGGTAGTCCTCAATCTGTAGTCAATTTCATACTGGCGCTTTATTCATGTGCTAAGCTTTAGCATTGTAATGTTTTACTTTTTCAGTATATCAGGTTTAAGTTAATTTTTTCTGTTGCTGGGAAATCCTGTGTTGTAATTTCCAATCTATTTGGGACATATACCCTTAAGTGGCACTTCTGTTCTCTAACTTATATCAGGTTGAAGTCTGTTATTTTGTTGATACTTTTAGTCATAGGGATGCAGGATTCACAGTTTTTTATCTGTGTTTCAACTAAACTAGCTTATTTGCAGGAGTCATTTGACAAACACTTTCCAACATCAACCGTTTCCTAATCTAGGTTTGAGCATGAGGGTTGCATATTTTGGTCATTTCCAAAGTTGAACTACTTTTCATTCTTGAATTGCTTTTAAAGTTTCTCTTGGTTGGAGTCGAGGATTAAAATTTCGTTTCAAAATAGTTGAAATGTTTCTGCTTCCAAAGGGAATAACACGAATCACTGATAAAATTGAAATTCTAATTCTTTGAGGTGTTTCTTAATATTTTGAAGCATTTACACAATTATTTTAAAATATTTTAAGGGGTTATTTTTTATTCGTTTCATTATGTTTTTAAAACAGGTTGAAACATTTTTAAAACATGTTAAAACGTTTTCATTTCTTAAGTGACTGAAACAAAATTTTGTTCCTTGATTGGAGTTAGTTTGAGCTGTTGGTTTTGGTCGGATTATTTTTGCATTATAATGTCTGGTGCACAGCTTATGGTATAGTGAATGTCTGTTATTTCTTATCTTAAGTTGCAGTTGAATCATACCCTCAAAATTGGCTTCCAGGGCTGCAGCAAGTGAAAACTGTTGCAAATTATTCAATTGCTTCTCTCATTGTTGTCATCTTCACCCCCCCCCCCCCCCCCCCCCCCCCCCCCCCCTTCACCCCTTTTCTCGTNACCCCCACCTTTTTTTTTCCCTTTGCAAGGTGCTTGCTAGGTTCAAAGAACTTTTGTTTGTGGACGGGCAGCTGGACATCGTCGTAATCTCTCATCTCCATTGTTGTAATGTAATATATCATCTTTTAGCTGTTGAAACAGTCTTACCCTTCAGTTGAATGAGCCAGTGGTAGAACAAAATTATACCGTGCCAGTAAAAAGTGTCTAGGGTTGTGGACAGAAGGAAGCCTAATTTGCATGTGTTAGGTACATAACACTTGTAACTTAAATGGTTATTATGTGGTTGTTCAGTCCCAAAATTTACTCCCAAAAAACGATTTAACCAGCTGCTACTGGGTAGTTTAATTGGCTTGTAGTTTGCTACTAACGTGAATGTCGTGCAATTATTATATTGTGTAATTTCACAATTGCATGTCCTTATCTTCCCTCATTGAACTACGTACATGACATGAAATCATNGCAATTATTATATTGTGTAATTTCACAATTGCATGTCCTTATCTTCCCTCATTGAACCACGCACATAACATGAAATCAGGTAAGGGAAGGGGGGTGCATTATTCGCCAGGCTCCTCAGCATTGAAGCATTTAGGTCATTATTGACTATGACCTTACGTTTTACATGGACTACTACAGTGTCAAATTTTCATCAGAACCCGCCTACCTGTTCCACGAGTAAATATTAAGTGTAACAGTTTCACCATGTTACTATTCCTATTCCACACCAATGTATCAATGCATAGCCCTATGCACTCCCACTTGTTTTTTCCTCCAAACATCATGCATGAATTATAATTTACATCAACTCCCGTAATTTTGTAGTATTTCCACATTTAAATCTTCCATTTTTTTTTTGTCCCTAGTCAGACGTGTACTTACACAATGTGTTGCAATGTACCCCATGGCTGCACCTTGATCCTTTCAGCATCATCAAACAAAAGTTAATGAAAATCAATCCACGTGCCTACCATTAAGCAAAACAAATTCAGTTTCTTTGCCNTTCCTATTCCACACCAATGTATCAATGCATAGCCCTATGCACTCCCACTTGTTTTTTACTCCAAACATCATGCGTGAATTATTATTTACATCAACTCCCGTAATTTTGTAGTATTTCCACATTTAACTCTTCCATTTTTTTTTTGTCCCTAGTCAGACGTGTACTTACACAATGTGTCCCCTTTATTGCAATGTACCCCATGGCTGCACCTTGATCCTTTCAGCATCATCAAACAAAAGTTAATGAAAATCAATCCACGCGCGTACCATTAAGCAAAACAAATTCAGTTTCTTTGCCGGCAGTTAATAAAAAGTTATCATGCATAATTTCCTAAGCGTCCATATTGTTGAGCTCTGGGAATATTTCCCCACTAAAGCAGAAATACAGATCCTACCAGCCTGCCAGAGAACATATAATCCAATTTCTAAACAAGTTTTTTGTACCAAACATCCAAGTGGGAAAACCTGGTGGGCATAGAATGCACCTGGGGAAGAAATTCGGTCCTAAACCATATGATTACTCCAGCTGTAGTTTGCGCACTCNAAATACAGATCCTACCAGCCTGCCAGAGAACATATAATCCAATTTCTAAACAAGTTTTTTGTACCAAACATCCAAGTGGGAAAACCTGGTGGGCATAGAATGCACCTGGGGAAGAAATTCGGTCCTAAACCATATGATTACTCCAGCTGTAGTTTGTGCACTCCACCGTCTCTTTCATCTACAACCTCCGTACATGACCAAGCATAAAACCTCATCATTAAATACCGTCATTCACAAAACCATAACAGAATGCAGAAGCAAATATTTGTTAGTCTACATATGTGTGCGTGCATATCAGTGCATTCGTGCGTCTTTGCAACAAGTCACTCTTGTTGTAGATAGATAATAAAATGTGTAAGTTTGTTTCAAGTAAAGAATCAGTATAAAAAAAGATAAAAATGCAGACTTTACCTCATTATCTCTTGCGCTTAAGTGACTTCAAATTCTTCAAGATATATGCAATTACTTCCTTTAATGTGGCTTTCCTTTGGTCCTTAAAGTTCCACAGCTCAGGAACCACATACCTACCACTTGGATTGTATTCATTCATCTCTTTCAGAGCAATGGCAACTGCATCGTATATTTCACCACCCCATTCCTCCTTGAGTTTTTGTAGCATTTCATCATCCTCATTCAGAATTTCCTGCATCATGAAGAATGATTCAGTGTTATATATCCAGACAATCCCACGTTATTCAAACATGAAGAAATGCAGAGATTCCCTTGTCCTCACACACTAGCAATATCTTAAAAGTTCCCTGAAAATCAGACAGGTTTCTCACCATAATTTTAACATGCTAAAAGGAGACATTTTGAAATAACATACGAATGGAATGGTCAACGGACGGAAATCCAAAATGAATACCTGACAACTTTCCCCATAAGTGACAATTTTAAATGGATGCCAATCAGGATTTTTCAGTCTCTCTTGCCATAGGGAGCACAATTCTGTGGCCTTGATCTGAGCTTCCTCAAGGGGGTACCGCAGCTTGCATGCATTTTGAAAGGCTTTGGTATCGATTTCTCCCATTCTCTTTATCCCAATATTAGTGCGACCAGCCAGCAATTCACTCAAGCCCTGAAAATAATGAAAACAATAATTATAGTTATACCAACATGAGGAATTATGGTCAGTAGCATTAGGAAGGATAAAGCCAGTATTCATGATTGCCTGGTCTAGGGTATATGGCTGAGACAGATTGCATCCATGTAATCAGACTAAGGATCCGAGTGGGACAATCAACTATTCCATTACATCGTTGCAATCAAGTAATACATCAACTAATCATCACCTTTTGTTTGATTGCTGACAACCACTCACTTCCAAATCTTTTATCCTATTTGTTTTCAGAGAATCGTATAAAAAATCATGTTGAACAAGATGGGGACCATTCATTCAAACATAACTTATATGACAAATGAAATTTCTATAGGTGGGGCAACTAGTTTGTCATCCAATGGATCCCATGTCTGATACTTAATGCAAACTGCATTTTTGAAGGCATGTATTACAAATCTATCACTCTATAATCCTCCCATGAATTCAGTATTACATTTGAATAATATGGTCCATAAGAATGAAATGACAGGATAAGAGTTCCCACCGCAATCAATTCTTTACGAGCTTCTTGCAGCTCATCATTACTTTGGCGCTCTTTGACAACAAGAGTTTGATTCAGAGTTTCCAGATCACCCATTTCCTCAATTTTCTCTTTCAATTCTTCATTCATCTCTTTAATCTTCTCCTGAACCACAGCGTCATCTTTTCCCAGATGCTTCATCACCTCTAGTTTCCCTCGTAATTCTTCAATTTCCATCTCCAATTTCTGTTTAGCATCTAATTGTCTTTCTAACTCCAGTATCTTTTTTAAAGCCTCCTCCTTCTCCCTCTGCACAGTTGAAATGGTGGTCAATGAAAGCTACAAGAGTGTAAGATGATGGAAAATACAATCTACCTATAGTACTACAGTGTGTTGTCAAAGCTTAACACTAAATGACACACCTTCTGCTCTTCAACAAGACGTAAGACATTCTCATCGGCCTTTTTCTGTTCCATGGAAGCCATTTGAAGTGAATTGTTTCTGACATCATTCTGAAAGAACAAAAATTATCAGCAGTTATAATGAAGCATCATCACAAAGGAAACACAGGAAGCATTTCCTAAACATATTTTCCACCAATGCAGGAAATCTCTAGGATACGAGTACGTTGTGTATAATAGGAGTAAAAATGATGCATCTATCAAGTGAACAAACTGTCAATCAATTCAAACATACAGAATGGGACAAGTCGCTGCAATGAATAAGGATATAACCCATCATCAGATTGTACTAGGACCGATGACTTAACAGCTAAAACTTGGATGTCCAAAAAACAAAAAGGAAACAAAGTAAAAAGGTTTAAGTATTCCTGTATGTACAGATAATTGTCCATGTATCACCTTTTTTTTCTCCTCATCCAGTTTCTGTCTCTCACGTTCTGTCAAGGCTTCACGCTTATTCAGTTCTTTGCTCCAGCTATCAAGTTTCCTCCTTTTGCTCTCCAACTCCACATTCAGCATCTCTTGTTCATCTAACACCCTTTTAACGTGCTCTCGTGCAATGCGTTGCATCTTCCTTGTTTCTGAACAGGATACAACAGTGAGATATAACAATATATTATAGGACCTCAGGTGTCAATTGATTACTACTACTGTTCTGGTATATGAATGTCATGGTTTACATGAATGCAGCATCCTTTTTGGGCCAAGCAAACACCTAAAATTACTCCAAAAAGCAACACTCATCAAATGCTGTTCATTTTTTGTTGTCAAAGAAAGCTCAGGGGGCCCAATGGCAGTTTAACAACATTGAAACACTAAAATTCAATCATGACTATTTTGGCAAGTATCCATCAGCTGAGAACCCGAACATTTGCAGGTGGAATAATGATATACATGACAAAGGAATCTTCATTGCACAGACACACATTAGCATAATGCATACATAGGCAGTCTGATCATGAAAGTATTCTAGCAGACATGGATAAATTTGTACTTCATCCTTGACCAGGTAAACAGGGAGAAGGAGGGAGCAAACCTTCGCAGAAAGCACGGTGTAGGATGTCTTTCTCCTCAAGCATCCTACTAAGCGACATGGTCTTCTCATTGTACTTAATTTGCAACTCATCCAAATTTTCATTTTTCATGTCAATCTCATTGGCTAGGTTTGCCACAATACTGTTTCTGTCCTGTGTCGCTTCCTCAACAAGGTTGGAGATTGTTTTTAATTCTCCTTTACTACGAAGATAGTCTCCCACCAGCCCTTTTGAGTTAAAATCATCCTCACGAGCAAACCAGCCATAAATGTTTGAACCAGGATGACTTTTTGGAGCATTCCACTCCTTCTTACTGTGGTGCTCAGCTTCAAAAACTTTTTCAAATTCCATAGCATTCTTGAAACCAGTCCAATCATTATCAAACACAATGACAGCTTGTGCAACTAGCTCTTGATCATCCCAGAAAATCTTAATTTCTGAAGGCTTATATTTAGAGAACTTTTTCGACCAGTATCCTTCACTACCCACATCTTGGTGATTCTTGGGATCATTAACTATATTGACAACGATTCCAGTCCAAGGCCACACATACAGATCATTCTGCTCAGAAAATTGATCTGTCTGTGATGGTGCAACAGCACGCTGTGGTTGTGGCTCCGCCTCATTCGCAAGATCAGTCTCCAAGTAATTTGCCAGTGCTAGATGGTTTGCCTTCTGTTTTGCACTTCTGTTGGCGGAACCTTTAGCCACTCCTGAAGCATGTTGAAGTAGATCCTTGTACTTGTAATCCTGTTTCTTCTTTCCAGCACAGAAGGGACACCTAAGGGCCCCATTTGGACCCTTTACTTTGTATTTTCCATCCCTCAGTTCCTCATAAGGTTTCTCTTTGTACTCAAAGATCTCTGACTCACTCAAATCTGACTCTTCACCAGAGCTGCTGTCCATTAACTTGAAAATTTGAAAACAGATGATTGTGAGAAACAGGAGAATATACAAAGTAGCTTCAAATATCATAAGCTAAATAAAATGAAACTTCCCAAAAATAGGCATTCTATCAGAAGACATTAAGCTATAGTTTGATAGAGGAAGGAGAAAAATTGACAACCACCTAAAATCAACGAAGTTGCATCATATTGCGAATAATATACGCTGGTGTGGTGGTTCAGGGCAGTGACAAGCAACCAAAACAACAAAAGTAATTAACAACAGAATCTGATAATAATCACATTTTATTAATCTATGAAGTAGGGATACAGATACGGCTACGGCGAGATACACCAAAACCTAAAAAACTAGGATACAAGTAAGGCTAGAATCCGTCTGTAAAATTATGATTCATAAAGTAACAAGTGAATCACATCGATCAAAGATATATAATAATACCTAACCATCAATCATTCATAAATCATACACTCTACACATGAATATTGCATAATATCCAAAACCAAAATGTTTGCGAAAATTAACATCCAACACCATATGGAAAATACTTCAACAATTAACACCCAATATCATATTGAAAATAACTCAACACCCAACACTATATGGAACATTCAACATTCAACAGCTGTTACAGACGCAACACCCTCACCAAAATACACCCAAAAATTAACATCAAGCACCATATGAAAATTAATCCAACATCAAGTCAAATAGAAGAGTACCAAAGATAAATCTCAAAGAAACGGCAAAAGGTCCAAGTCCAACCAAGCTACACCCGGAAATCTTCCTTATTTTCTATAGTTTCATAGTTCCTATATAACACACACAAAAACAGAAGAATCCTTGAAAATAAAGCCCTAATTGCAAACCCTAATTCTAGGCTTAGGTTTCTTTGCAAACTCAATTGCAAAATAGGAATGCTAATCACAGGTAGAAATGCAAAAGAAAGATGTAGAGAAAACATAAAACTAAATACAAAGAGAGAGAGTCATTGTACAGTGGAGAGGAGAAATACCTGAGCGGTGCAGAGGAGACTCAGGAGATGGTCGTCGAGCCCAGGGATGTCGTCGGATCAAGAGCCGACCGTTCGTCGGAGTCCAGGTGTGTGTCTGTTGTGACTTGTGAGTGAGTAACACTGTGAGTGAGAGAGAGAGAGAGAGAGAGAGAGAGAAGGGGAGTCGCGAGATCTCACACAGCCACGCCTCAGTAGTAGACTTGTTGGGTTTTTTCATTTTTTTTTTTTTTTGCAAATAAGGGCCCAAATTTATTTTGCTACTGCACCCCTGGTTTTTTTAAAAACTAATCTCCCAACGGATGTTTGGTTCAATATTACACTTTTATCTTATAAGTCGAAAGTTTAAGTCCTTCCCCTTCCCCTTCCCCTTCCCCTTCCGCTCTCAAAAAATATTATAAGAAATTAATTCAAGACAAAGAATCAAACATGCAAAGAGGGCTGCATTGATGAGCTCAACCCAGTAAAATCCTATGAACAGAAACAAAGTCCACTCCCGTAACTCGCCATTTGACACCGCCAAAAAGCCCAAAATCATCAGATTTACCATAGGCGAAANCTTTTATCTTATAAGTCGAAAGTTTAAGTCCTTCCCCTTCCCCTTCCCCTTCCCCTCTCAAAAAATATTATAAGAAATTAATTCAAGACAAAGAATCAAACATGCAAAGAGGCTGCATTGATGAGCTCAACCCAGTAAAATCCTATGAACAGAAACAAAGTTCACTCCCGTAAGTCGCCATTTGACACCGCCAAAAAGCCCAAAATCATCAGATTTACCATAGGCGAAAAATAATAAGAAAAACGTCGATTGCTTCAAAACAGGGACGCTAAAATGCGTCAACTCGGTACGACCGACCAACCGTCTCAACCGAGTTGGCTCAGAATAACACAACATCTTGAATATTCACTCATACACTACAATGTTAGAACGAAACTCCAAAAAAATCAACTGATTGAGTCTTCTGTTACCTCAAAGATTGCGATGAAACCAGTCCGTGCGAACACAGGGAAGAAGGTAACTGATTAATTTGTGCTTCCGAATGTCTCTCTGTGACGTCCACCGCCGAAATAGTGGTGATTTCTAGGCAGCGACAAGCTCCGGCAATGAATCCAACGGTTACGAGAGCTGAAAAACACACACAATTCCTCTCTCTTTAAAACTGAAGAACCCTAGGAAATGAATGACATTTGTTCTGCCAACAAGGGTGTTAGGTACAATGTGTATGTACTATACTATACTATGTACTCGTGAGTGAGGACGAGGGCTGAAATACTGTACGTCGCACTTAAAAAACTTTACATGCTCGATGTAATCAGCAGCCGTTGGGTTCCACCAAGAGAGTGCGTCCGCTAGATTTAGCGGTTGATTATCTGACAATCTCCATTGGTTTAGATCAAAATGGGATGGTCCTACAAATATTATCTCATTTTTTTTAGTGAGAATTATATTTAAGCCTCTTGAAATTTATCATCTAGACTCTTGACATTTAAAATATTACATACAAACCCTTTGAAATTTATACATATATAACACTTAAACTATTGTCATCAATATCAATTAATAAATTATACTCCAATCCCTTAAAATTTTTAAGCATATAAGAGCAACTCGAAAGAGGGTAGCATACGGAGGTGACAATCCCATATGCCACCCCAAATTCAAAATTTTGGGCTCCAAGAGAGGGTGGTATATGAGGTTGGAAAATAACATTAAGGCTCTTGGGGTGACATTTTTGACAACTCTAGAAAGAGAAAAGAAAAGGTTGTAAATAGGTTAATGAATATAAATCCAACGATTCATATAGATTGATGAATAAAAATATGAAAATGACACCCTATTTTGGTACCTGCAATTAGAGCAGATTTATAATTCAGAGTGTCAAAATATTGTTTAAGATTACAAATGAGTAATTTGACACCCCAAAATGGCAACTCCCTTTGGAGTTGGAGTTGCTATAATATTTAAACTTCTCAAGTTTAAAATATTATAATTAAACAAAAAATACTTCAATCAAAGATAAAATATCAAATATTTTAAATTTTATAACTAAAATTCATATTTTATTATGTTAGTTATTGAAATAAAATCAAAAACAAAAATTCAATTTTTTCTTAAAAAAATCATAATTAGTATACAATTATAGTATTTATTAGAATAAATCTAAAAAATCAAATAAGGGGTCAAACCGTAATAAATACAATATATTCTATCTTTAATTAGAATAATTTGATCGGATTTCGTTAGTTTTGTAACTAATAAGTGGTCTAAATATAATATTTTAAATTTAAGGGGTGTAAGTATTATATACCTACAAATTTCAGACAATCTGAATATAATTTACTAACATATTTATTAACCGACATTGATAATATAATGTCTAAGTGTTAAGTATGTATAAATTTCAAGAAGTCTGTGTATAATATTTAAATATCATGTGTTTAAGAGATTAAGTGACAAACTTTAAATAGTCTGAATGTAATTCTCTTTTTTTTTTTTATATATTCAAATCCCGTAATTTAATTGATATATGTAATATGAAGGCCATTGTACAAGTCAAAAATTTGTGCTGTAATAACATTGTAGCAAAGAAAATAGTAGATAATATGTATAAAAGTAAAAGCAAATTATTAACATTATAAACTAGTAAGCATGTTTGCAATGTGATATTTCTAATTATATTAGACCTTATAATAACAAAAATCGCTTACATTGAATCATAATCCATAACCTTAAATCTGCCACATTGAACATCTTGATGGTGGATACAAGGGTTGCTCAAAGATGTAACGTTTAAGAATAGCTCAGTGATTGAATCTGACTATTATTAATTTAGATATATTATTCTCATACTCTCTAAAAATCAGTCACTCTTATTCTTGTTCCTTGGGACATATTCTAAACCCGCTTAAACTACGATGATTAGTATCCAAGCTCGAGAGAGCGCAAACCTAAACGGCCAATAGCCGAAAAAAAGAAGAAGCCAACAATACATTGCATCTTCCAATTTGTGTGTCTATTTGTCAAAGAATAGTTGAAACTGCATATTTTACGTGAATTTCTGTAAAGAGTTAGTTACATTAGCACTCTCATGCTCATCTTTTCAGGGACATACCACAGCAATTGTGAACCCAAAGACACAAGGATCCCGAGACCCTTATCCGCCTCGCTGCCTCCACCAGCCTCGGCCCTTGCCATTATGATCACTAGGCGCCCTGCACACGCGGTTACCCGAGTGAGTGAAGAAAAATTAAACAGTTAAATAGGGTTAAAAGAGAATTTGGGTGTNCACCAGCCTCGGCCCTTGCCATTATGATCACTAGGCGCCCTGCACACGCGGTTACCCGAGTGAGTGAAGAAAAATTAAACAGTTAAATAGGGTTAAAAGAGAATTTGGGTGTTTGATAAGAACTAAACGACAATATTGATGTTTGATGAATGAAAATGGTTCAATGGAATTAAAGATGGAGCAATGGATAATTATTCAGAAAGAAATATATGGTATTATGACTATTTAGGAGTAGACACCAAACTTTATCATCTCTATTTATTAATAGTATAGATTATGTCATCTACAGTCTACATCTCGGGTTTATCGAAACCCAGCCGTTGAAGTTGAAATCGCCTTCACTGCCCTAAATCACTTCCTATGGAAGCATGTATGAAACTGCAGTTAAGCCCTAGCTTTGATTTAGATTTTCCAAGGATTTGTAGTCAAGATTCGAATGGACTTTTGGCATGTGCCCATATAACTTTGCAGCAGAAGTAATATCATCATTTGTCACTCACGAAGTATGATCTGATTTCCACTTAAATCTTTTCTTTTTTCACAATAATTTCGTCACTCATGTTTTGATTTCTGGGCACATTGCAGGTCGGGATTTTAAATAAAATAACAGTTGACTGTTATCAACTTGTATCGAGAACTATCTGTCATTTCAAGTCCTAANGAGAGGAAAGCACAGTTCATAGATTCAACTTGCCTGTTTATCAGCCTCATAAACAAAATTTGAAGCATATTAAGCTCAAAAACAACTTCTTCGTCTTGTACCTTTTATCCCTTTGCATAGGGAAACCACTGGAGCTTCAATGAATCCAATGAGAACTCTGTGGCCGGCGATAGCTGCAAACTTCAAAGCCATGTGGGTCAACCTTCGTCCGTCCATCTTTGGCACGGGCATGCTGGCTGGGGCTGGTGTTCACTCTGCAGTTAAGCTGCCTGAGGGAGATGTCAACAGTCATTACAAGCCTTCAGCAGCACATAGCTTCAGAATGTGACCCATTGATTCATCAAAACACCAACACTAATAAATTCAGATGCTCTGTCAGAACACAAGCATTTGTTGTAAAAGGAAGCAAGTGATTTAATCTCTAGCTTTTTTGAGGATGATATAGACTGAACATTGCAGAAGTAAACTAGTTCTAAGAACTGTTAAAAGAACAACATCTATTAAAGATTACTCACTAATTACCTAGTTTATAAACAAACAGTAATTGTTATGAACATTATCTTTGCATTATCTTGAATATTCCATTGTCGTCTTATCACAAATCCTATATCTTTCACATTGATCTCAAAAATCACAAAATTTACATTTGTTTTACTGTTGACACCCAAATGAATACATCCATTTATGTCAATCAANAAAATCACAAAATTTACATTTGTTTTACTGTTGACACCCAAATGAATACATCCATTTATGTCAATCAAAATCTCCGTGTGGGTTTCACTTATCCATCAACATCTAAATTCGTAATGTACACATGAACTCCTAAATTATTATGCATCCTAGCTGCTCCATTCAAGTCAGTGTGTCCACTGTCGAGTTTGTGCTTATTTCGTGGCTTACACCTTCCAAAGGTGACATATAAGGTACCAAATATGGAACAAAAAAGAAAACAACTTCTTTCCCCAAATACAGCCACAATAAAGGTGAATAGAGCAAACCGCAACACAAAATNTGTGTCCACTGTCGAGTTTGTGCTTATTTCGTGGCTTACACCTTCCAAAGGTGACATATAAGGTACCAAATATGAAACAAAAAAGAAAACAACTTCTTTCCCCAAATACAGCCACAATAAAGGTGAATACAGCAAACCGCAACACAAAAAAACACACAGACCTGGGCTTGAATTGTGAAACATATGTTGAAAAAATTGAACATGGACAAACTTCTCATACAGATATTAAAGACCAAAACGCCACCATTTTCTCCATCAGTTGTCACTTGTCAGTGACACTCTTACTAAAATCCTATTCACATTTCAGTAAATGACCAATGAGTACCATTGTACCAACCCATCATACACCTATGCAACCTTAGCAATGCCAATATATGCTCATTCATCAACAGATCAAATGGCAAGACTTAAACCCCTTGCCAGGTCTCAAGTTTGATGTTTCTCACACACCTTAAGGACCGGGTTCCACAAGGGACATGTCTACGGTGGTTGATTCAGAGCTCACGAGAGTACTCAGGCGCAAGCCTAGACGCCCTAATCCANCTCACACACCTTAAGGACCGGGTTCCACAAGGGACATGTCTACGGTGGTTGATTCAGTGCTCTCGAGAGTACTCAGGCGCAAGCCTAGACGCCCTTAATCCNCAACAGATCAAATGGCAAGACTTAAACCCCTTGCCAGGTCTCAAGTTTGATGTTTCTCACACACCTTAAGGACCGGGTTCCACAAGGGACATGTCTACGGTGGTTGATTCAGAGCTCACGAGAGTACTCAGGCGCAAGCCTAGACGCCCTAATCCAAAAAAAAAAAAAAATAGCAGGACTTCATAAATACCGATTTCTTCTCTTTTCTTACTGATCAAATTGCTTTATTTATTTATTTTTCTTTCGATTTCTTCTCTTGTCGTACACTTTCTCGGCTTCCAATCAGGCTCATCTCATTTACTCATTTTTGAGTATCCACACTAACCTGAAACCAGTGATGATGATGACTCCAGCAATTCACTATTAAACGATCCATTAAACTCCAATCCACGAATCAAACCATCTGGAGCCCTCGTACTTGGCTCGATTGATCGGGTCTGACCCGGGAGAAGAGAGATTTATATAGAGAAAGTGCAAGAACAGCGATAAGAATGCCGAGGACATCGGCAAAGGCGTCTTTGGCTGACGCGCCAGCGGATTTGAAAAATCCAAGCTCGTCCGCTGCCTCTTTGGCTGCGCCGGCGATGAGCGAGATAATGGATCCAACCCAGAGGCTCCAGCGTCGAAGAAAAGCGTACCGGGTTCGGGTAGCGAGGAGAGAGAAAAATATGGTAACAGAAAAGCAGAAAAGGACGTGGTGGAACTTGTCTTGAGCTAGCCAGTCATCTCCGTTCTCCATTTGACAAAACACAGAGAAAGAGAGAGGGTTGTGGAAACTGTGGGAAGTGGTTTAAGGTTTAACTAGGTGAAATGGTCTTTGGGTTGATTAAGAAATGGTTAAATCCGACAGTGTCCCAGCGTAAAGGTCAGGATTAATTGCGAAAAATAGGGCAAAATCTAATTTATCCTGGTTCGGTTGTTTTGCACGTCACCTCTTTATGGTTCAAAAATTAACACATAGCTCTCTCGTAGTTTTGGATTAAAGTGTAACTTTTATTATTTATATAAAAAATGACAAAAATTATAACACACGCGTTAGATTTGTANTAATTGCGAAAAATAGGGCAAAATCTAATTTATCCTGGTTCGGTTGTTTTGCACGTCTCTTTATGGTTCAAAAATTAACACGTAGCTCTCTCGTAGTTTTGGAATAAAGTGTAACTTTTATTATTTATATAAAAAATGATAAAAATTATAACACACGCGTTAGATTTGTAAGTATGAATGTAAAAAATTTAAGTTAAAATTAAAACTTAATTTAAAAGTTCAAATATACTTTTGTGATCTTTCAAAAAGACATTTTTTTATCTTCTTCTACATTTTATCGTTAGAGAAAATAATAAGATTTTTCATCTTTATTTTACATTTTTCCGTCTCTGTGCCTCTCCGAATCTCACCTCTTGCCTCATCCTCCTCCTCCTCCTCATCTGTCTCTTCTAATTGTTCTTGTGGTTTTCGACGGGGATGGTGGGAGTTTTTCGGTGGGTTTGGGGGTGGGTTTTAAGGGCTATTAGGGGTGGGTTTTCGAGGTTGTTGGGAGTGGTTTTCGGGGGTGTTAGGAGTGGGTTTTCAGGTGTGGCATTGGGGGTGGGGGTTTCGATGGTGTTGGATTGTTGTTGGTGGGGGTGGGTTTTTGGTATGGGTGGTTGGTGGTGGGCGGATTGCAAGGGGTTTGGG